GAAACTTATGGAAAATAAAGATTCAAAGAAAATTTTTGGTGATGATTCTGATGATGACACATCAGAGGATAGTGAAACTTGGAAGGTCATTTCATTATTATGGTATAATACATTAATTTAATTCAAATCAATTTTCGTTTTTAGTAATTAAGTATAGCGATAATGGTATTTACGTTTCTTAATACAGGGGTTCTCCCTGTGAAATCATAGACATTGCATGGTCTCCGGATGCTGAATATATCGTTGCTGCATGTATGGATGGTGGTTCCAGAATATGGCGTGTGAAAGAAGGTAAACTTTAATTATGAAAATTTTCAATAATGTTTACACTTTATAAATCTAATTATAAAATATGGTCTAGCAAAGTGTGTATGTGTTTTGATGGACCATGTTCGTAATGTTCAAGGTGTTGCATGGGATCCACTTTGTCAATATATTGCTACTCAAAGCAATGACCGGTATTTAATTGATTTTTTTCGTTTGAACTTTCATCTACGTGCTTTTATAATGGTTTATATGATTACAATTTTTGCTTAGAACTGTTCATATATACTCGTATAATATTCATTCAAATGGTACCTTTGAAACGACTCTCGTTAGCAAAAACTTTAAGGTTGAAATCATAAGCAAGAAAGGTCCAAAACCTTTAAAAGACACTACCAAAACATGTGATGATTTGAGCGAACATAAATGTAATAGTGATAAACATACTGTAGTGCTTGCAAATTCTGAATCCAAGATCGCCGTAAATGATATTTCAGGTGGCGTTAATCTCATATCAAATACTATAGAGTGTCCTGGAAGCATAAAAAATGATCCTTCACAAGTGCCAGCGACACCATCTGTACCAAAGCAGCTTAAAAAGCACTTTCGACTATATTGTGACGAAATGATAAATACCTTTTTTAGACGATTGGATTTTACACCAGATGGTGGACTATTACTTACGCCGGCCGGACAGTATTATAATTCTATGATTGACATGATAAACAATAAAAGTGATAGAGATGAAAGTAATCATAAAGTTGACACAACAATTCTAAATACTGTTTACTTATTTGCTCGAAATAAACTAAACAAGTAAGTTCATATTTTACAATTTGTTTTTATTCAGTATATCTTATGATTGAATTTGTAAACTATTTTATTACGTTAGACCGATCGCTTTTCTACCGGGACATAAGAAACCATTTGTTGTTGTAAAATGCAATCACATCTTTTATAAATTACGGTTTCCCCGAAAAAATTTTCAACCACGAATTGATGCTACAGCATTGCAAACGAGATCAGAATACTTTATTACTGACAATTCTTATAGTGATAAATCGTTTAATGTTCATTTACCACCTTTATTTGACTTACCATACCGCATAATTTATGCAGTGGCAACTCAAGATTCTGTGCTTATATATGATACAGAGCAGTATGCTCCTTTGGTTATAGCGACCAATTTACATTTT